TGCTTTTAACACAGTAACTTATCACTTTTTCTGAAAATACAAGTTCTCTTTTTTCCATATCTTATCTATAAACAAATGTTTAAAGCCTCCTTTAAAAGCTACCAGAAACAAAATATATATTATATCCCTGATCAAATCATCCAAATTTGTATTCCTTCCCTTTGAATCTTGATCTTGATCTTTAATCTCTTTAAATAGTGTCCCCAAAGTTTCTGTCCTTTTATTTTCTCTTTGTCTCTTCTCAGAAATTCCTTTGTAAGTGTAACACATCTCTTCTGTAAATCTACAATAAGTATCCGAATCTGGTTTTTATTTGTGCATTCCTTTTAATTAAGACATCAGCTGCTTCATTTATAAATCCAGTGAAACATCTTTCTCCATATCTGTCTTGTACCTGTCATTTTTAAATCCACATTAGAATCAGCATCACTGTTTTATCTGTAAAAACCTTATCCTCTTCTATATCATCTTTTAAATCCATTTTTATAATAACAGATAAACCTAAGAGTAATTTCTTAGTACATTGTTCCCAAATATCCTTAAATTCTTCCAAAGTTAGAATATTTTGCTCCATTATTTATTGTTGGGTCTCTTCTCTTTTAATTGTAATATTTAGTTCTTTCTGGTTTCCCCTTGTGTCCAATGTTCAAAGTCCTCTCATCATATTCTTTTCTAATCAACAGCATTTTCCCACAGGAAGGTTTCTTATATTTAATTTCAAAATCTTATTTCAAATTGACCTGGCCCTTTAGTCCATTTGTAAAATTAAGTATATGCAATTAGAAGACAGTTGTCAAGAAATGTCATGATTCAATTTGTAAAATCTACTTAAAAACAAGTGATTCAGAAACATTACCAATAGAGATTCCAGAGAAAGAGGTGCAAATATTTAGAGAAATTCCAACTACAATATTAAAGAAACATAAAGAATACTCCTTCCTGACAGATCTTCTAAAGCAGAACAACATTCCTTTTCGCTGAGATAAATTGGAATTAGAAATCAATGCTTTAGACTAAATTCGGCAGCCAAAGCACAAGTTTTTCTGGAAAGGTATGGATTATAATTGCATTATTTCTTAAAAGACAAAGAATCAATTACCATAAGAAGTTGGCCTTAAAAAAAGATAAAAAGAAGTCTGGTATGGATCAAGGTTGTGGAAGTGGAATACCTGTAACTTCTTTATTATAATGGATGGATTGTAAGATTTTTATTTGAAATATAAATGGGCAATTAAAAGAGTTAAGAGAGGTAAAGCTCCAGGACTGAATAGCATATCAAGTGGATTTGAGCATTTGAAGATCATCTACTTCTTCCAATGAAGAACTTAATGGACTCTATTTTACAAGGAAATTCTATGCCTGGTTCATGGAAAGAAGCCATATATCTTTGATGCCCAAAGAGGGGCAGGACTTAGCTTCTGTGAAAAATTACAGACCAACTTCACTTAATGATGATTATAAATTGTTTACATCCATTTTAGCTGAAGGACTTTAAAAAATTTATGAAATTACATACAGGAAGATCAATGTGGTTTTTTACCCAGAAGATAACTAAAGGACAATGTGAGTATAGTCTTGGACATAATAGAACATTTACAACAACACAGTGACAAAAAAGTTTCATTAATTTTTTTGGATGCAGAAAAAGTTTTTGACAATTCGATCTGGGATTTTCTGTTTATAAAAGATGGATTTTGAACTTATTTTTTGAAATCATTTATACACTCTAGAAGGCTCAGATTTTGGTGAATGGAAATTTGACAGAATTGTGTGAAATCCAGAAAGGAATAAGACACGGTTGTCCTATATCTCTTTTATTATTTATCTTGCTGTTGGAATTGCTAAATACAGATATTAGACAAGACAAGAGTAAAAGGATTACAAATCAAAGCACATATGTATAAACTTCATGTCTTTGCCGATGACTTGATTTTGATTTTGCAAGACCCACTGAAGAATATTGAATATGCTATGAGGAAGTTTAAAACATTTGGAGTTGCGGCGGGTTTGAAAATAAGTAAACAAAAGACGACAATACTGACAAAGAATATGAATGAAGATGATCAGAAAAAATGGAAATAAAAAACAGGATTTAAAGCTATGAAAAGGTAAAATATTTGGGGTGATTCTTACAAATGAAAATTCTAAGTTATATAAAAAATGTTAAAATGTCAAATGAGATAAAGTTGGACTTACATAGAACAATTAGATTTGTCATGAATGGGATGAATTTCAGTCAATATGAACGTACTACCTAGAATGCTATTTCTTTTTCAGCCTATACAGACTATATATTTCCCCAACAGAAAAGAGATACTACTGGAATCTAAATGGATGACATATTGTAATTTATTGATATTTGAAGAAGAGGGACCTAAGATAAAAACAAGAGAAAATCTAGTATGTGAAAAATTTAATTGTGACTGAGTTAACTATTATAGAATTTTTTAAAGATTTAAATTTGATAAAAAGTTTTTTTGCAGGAGATAAATCTTAACTGAGTAGGAACTTATGTTCTGGAGATGACCATCTGATTACTAAAATTTATAAAATGTTATTTAAGATGAAAATTAGTTGTAACACAATGTTAGATCAATGGGAAATATATGAACCAATGATTTAAATTTTACTTTGAATTTCAGTTTAAAAGAAAACTTTTATAAAATGATTTATCATAGTATTTGATTCTGGATATTTTGGCAAAAATGTACAGAGGGATTCCCAACAAGTGCTGGAAATGTAATCAAACTTCAAATACAGTTTTTCATATATAGTGGTCTTGTAAGTATGCTAAATCATATTGGATAAATTTAATAATGACAAAAGAAAATATTTAAAATACAATTACTAAGGAAGCCTTTCCTCTAGGTATTATGGATAAATCAATAGAAAAACAGTTTGGGACATTGTTTCTCTACATGGTAATAGTTCCGAGGATTGTTTATGCACCAACTGAATGGATTTAAAAATTGACTGAACTGGCAGAAATGGTGAAATGAACTGCAATGATTAGAGACAATAGATTAGATAAGTTTATAAGAGACTGGAAGCCATTTGTGGACTTTCTGCATGTTAAATACAATAACAGATGCTTACAGAGGGCTTTGAAGATTAGTTTTACTTTTGGGGTTACCTGTTGATTACTTTTTAAATATAGTGAACAGATATAGTGGGTCAATTTGAATGATAGATAAATAGATTTCCACATCAGGGACATCTTTTTATGTAATATAGTATTTTTATTAAATATAGATGGGAAAGTTTCTAATTATTTGTAGACCAGTTATATAAAGGGAGGAGAATATATCAGATATTTTCAATATATTTTCATCGTTCAACCAGGGTGGACGTTTTGTTTAATGTCAGTGTAAGATATGTTTGCTATTTGTTATTTTTTATTTCATACATATGTTTTTTTATTGTTAATGTTTGAAAATGTTAGTTTGCTTTTTCTTTTTTCTTTATTTTATATGTTAATTTTCAAAATAATATTTGCAAAAGTAGAAAAAAAAGTCCTTGCTTAAAACTTCTTTCACCAGGATTGAAGGGAATGCACCCAGTATAATGAAATTTGCCTTTCTGAAGATTTCTGCCAGAGTTTTAAAACCTGTCAAAGATTGCTATATTATGGTCTCCTTGCAGGGAGTCACCATATGGAGTACTTGTGGGCAATCTCAGGTCCTCTCCTTTATCTGGAGAGAGATTCTGAGGAGTTGATCCATTTGCTGGCTCCTTGTTCCATTGCGGTCATCAGCTTCTTCTCAACAGAGCTACTGGTATTTTAAGTCTGCCATTGCTTCTTTGAAAGTCTGCATTTTTCTGTAATTCTTTCCACAGCCATGTATTTGGATAAATGTTACTATCCCCAATGAAAAATGGCTTGCCTAAGGCAAAAGCAATGGCCAAACTTTTGTATTGCATTTTTAATTAACTCTGATCAGCGGTTTTTTTGACAGCAACTTGTAAATCTATGAATAACTTACTAAATAAAACAGAAAACTGAGCTTGTTTCATTGCTGTGGAGAGGGAGTAAAAGCAAAAACATTTAGAACCACAAAACCAGCCCTGAACAAATCTTGTTTCTTTTTAATAGTAGAAAAACCTGGAAAATAATCTGAGCTACTGATCTTAACCGATCACTAAATTATTGCAGAAAAGTGGAATCATTTAAGTAACCTTGTTCAGGCTACCTAAAATGTGTGTCTAACAAAACTACATGAATAATACTACATGAATAATACTACATGAATAGTATAAATCAGAAAGCCCATGGATTATTCAGAACAGAACTTAGATGGTGTTGATTGGTAAGAAAACGAGGGACGGAAGATGAGAGGAAGGAGTGAAACTTACTTCCCCCCACTGGTAGAAGAGCTTGGCTGCATTCCACTGTAACTTCTGGTTTCTTTTATTCCCCACGATTGGAGAACGCCCACGAGAAAGGCCTTTCTTAGTAATATTCACATGATGCCCCTTCATCCATTCTGGCCAGTTGCCCCGATTGCAGCGGTGCACAAAGCGAGCACATTCCAAGAAAAGGGCTGACCTCGCCACCACTGGTGCCTCCTAAAATGCATTACCAGAATGTCCTTAAGAACATGAAAACTAGCAAGCTGAAAAAAAGTGTCAAAGACTCAGGGCGTCAGGTTTCAATTTTTTAAAATAAAAAATGTACAATGCTGTTTCAAGCAAATGTAAATGAAGCAAATATCATAGATGACTTGGACCTCAGGCTTTTTATCAGTTGACGAGGGCAGGCTCTTTTGGTACTTGAGGAATACTTCAACATTTTTTGATATGAGGCACATAATAATGGCTTCATGTAAACTGCAAAAGACAATATGTAGTGTGACAAGACTTTTTCAAGAAAAAAATATTCTAAAACAATAATTAGCATCCCAAGAGATACTAAAGGATAGGATACTAAAAATATACTAAAATCATTACACTATTTTTACACAAAATATAAATGAGATTGCTAAAAATAAATCAAGGAAAAGAGTAAAAATAAATAAATTCTTCAAATTTTAATACATTTGGCTGTAAGAAACATGAGTTTCTATAAAAATGAGAATTTCATAAACTATTCCCAAGTCATCTAAACTTTTTGTAGAGATTTAGCTCTAATAAGTGTAGTACTTCAGACTCAACACTGGGCTACCACTTCCTTGATAATGAAATATCAGTTCATTCCAATATAATACCAGTTCATGATTTGTCAGTACATCAAAAGGTACTTTGGTTACTCTCCCCTCCCTTCTTTTATTACAGAGGGACTAATCTGTCTGCTGAAAGTTAATTTGTAATATCTCATGCCTGCATTTATTTATTAATTAAAGATAACGTGAAAATTAATTTGCATTTTCATATGTACAGTATGTATATACATTTTTGTACATACTTTCCAAAACATATACATTTTCAAATAATACTTCAATTATAATTAGCTTTGGAACATTATTTCCATCACTATGCACATTTCAGTATGACTTTTTGTTCCTGTTCATAAAGCAAAAACAAAAAAGAACAATCTGTAAAAATGTTGGTATTAACGTATTACACATTCTATTTGTGTATAGTTCTGGGAAATACAAATTAGGTAACTTCAGATTAAATTGTAAACTGAAGAATTTTTCTCCAATCTCTATAATCCATAGAGGTATTTTTTTCAAAATTTGCACAAATTGAATTTGCAAGTAAATCTATATTGGCAAATGATGGAGCACAGTTCAAACTATGGCACAGACAAGGTAATACATAATTACACAGCACACATGGGGAGAAGAGGGATCTAGGGTTTATTCACATCACACCAAACAATCACATTATCCAATTTCATACATGTACAGTACTCATTGTGCTGCAGCTTTTTGTTACTTAATCCAAATAATACGATGCCGGATTTGTCTGCTTTCATACATATATTCAACTGACCCCTGAATTTTTATGTAGCTATTACCAAGTGAAAATCAATATTCTTTAATTAATACATGAACTAACATTGTAAATAATCATTATATTTCTTTTTTTCACTAGGCTTCCCTGATTGACATAAGAATTTTCTTCTTGCCTCCAAAAAAGCTAATTCCCTCCCCCCCAGAGAAGGTGTTTTTCTTGTTTCATGTTAACTAATTTCATTGGAGCAAACAAGGTCAAATACAAAAGTTCCTTTTCTCTTATACCTCCTTAGTTGCAGTAAGACAAAAAGTGAGTTTAATGTTTATATTTTTATAAATATAAAATTAATTATTGTTTTACTCTTCCATCATGTTATGCAACCAGAAGAGGCCATTATATCTACAATTCTGTGTTGAGCCAGTCCATATTAGCTCACCAATCGAATCTGCAACTATCAATGTATATGCATTTAAAAGTTTAAGTAATGTGGAATTTTAAAATTAAATGGAGAAAATAAATCTGAACTCTGAATGCAAATCTATCTCCCACAGATCCAAAGCGGACTGTGAGAGAGTCATGTTTGCTTTTTCTAACAAATGTGATGTAGGCAGCTCTGTTCAATTGAACATAGTTTTGATTGGAATGCTTGGCTGGTCTCTATAGCTCTAAAGGGGTTAATTGCTCAGCAACATCAGCCCTTGGACCTTTATTGCAAGATCTATTTCAGTTACATCTAATGCCTCAAGCCTTATCTCAACCGAGGAGCCATGATATAGCTTTCTGTTGGCTCAACTTCATATGAAACAAATGTTATCCACATTGCACTTAGAGTCAACATGCTGAATCTCAGAGTATTATGCAAAGGCATTGCAGTAGCTTACCTTATGCCCAGGGCAATCTGAAGAAGCAGCAAGAGAAAGATGAAGATGTTTGACAGAATGGATAAGGATGAATTCACACCACAGAGAAACACATCACAAATGAAGAGAAATGAATTAGCCACAAGATGCATAGCTGAAAAGAACCATAAGTTACCACTTTCATTGTCCACAGAAACAAAGCAACACATGGCTGCAACATTCAAAATAAGATGCACATTTTCCTCATAATTTGTTTATATAGCTGCGTCCTGCTGCTATTACAGTATTTGTACAATGTAGTTTAAAAATGGTGAAAACAATAACAACAACAAAATCACCATTTTTTGACAGCTTCATATAGTGGCAAAAGGCTTCTGAATAATGAATTCAACACATAGATCAAAGGATAGAGAAAAAGTTCAGAATTTGGGGAGGGGAGGGAGAGTTGATTGTCATTAGTTAAGATTAACGTGCAATTCATGCTTCAGAATATATGAATTTATATAGTTCTTGAGAGAATTGCAGCATTCATTAGAGTTAATGAGAATCAGCTCGGAATGAAACAAGCAGTGTTCTGGGTGGATATAGGTATCCCATAGAAACTCAAGGACTTGGACTTTGGGACACAGATCTTTGCCTCTCTATGTAACATGTTCCCTTGAAAACCTAAAGCCAGAGGGTCTGAATTCCAACTGCTGGCATTTCCTATGTATATGCCCAAGAAGTCAGAAGGATGTGGAACCTCTTATTCGGCATTGCAGAAAGAAATGACAAACATCATGTGATCAGGGATACCAATATCCCAGAAGTGGTGGGAACTCATTTGTTCATAGCGATTTCACTTAAGCACTAACCCTCTACAGATGTCAACTGTACATACAAGGAGAGGGATTAGATATGTGGGTACTTGGTCTCCCCCTGCCCCTGTAATTGCTGTTACTTCTTCATAGACTGGGTAGTTGCACCAATGAGGTTTCTATTGATGTATGCCTCCTAGGCACTGAAAAACAAGATTGTAAATCACAAAAAAAGTATTCTCTAAGAAAAATATTAAGTAATCAGAAATGTGGGTTTTTTTCATACTAGGAGACTTGCAGAGGGTTTCCTTTGTGAATCTTCTGGAAACTCTTCTATAGATATTGGGCATGCCTTTTTTTCATGGCTCTCCACATGTAGAAGGCAACATGAAATTAAGGCCGAGAAAAAGGGAGGGAGGAAAGTCTAGTTGTGTCCTCAAACGAAGGGATTGAAACACAAATATCCATCTAGGACAAGTGTGTCAAAGATGGATGCTGTGAAGGCTGCATGAAAATGGCCTGTGCTCTTGCACAATCTCTGGAGCTTCTGAAAATTGCAGGAGAACAGGGCATGCTTTTGTGTAGTTTTCGGAGATTGCACAGATCCTCTTCAAGAACAAAGGCCTCATTTGACCTAGAGGCACCTCAGGTAGGCCGCAAAGGCCTGTCAACAGAAAGAGAACACTGCCTGAAGATAAGTGGTCTGCAGCAGATCCTGCGGAGCACTGAGTCACAGGAACAATTGTGACTCATGTGCCTCAGGGAGATTGCTCAAGGCTCTTGTGCCTCAGGGAGATGTTTGTTTGTTTGTTTGTTTGTTTATTATCCTGACTTTAGATTTTTCTAAACAACTGAAGACATGGTACAAACCTAATACTCCTCCCTCCTCCTCTTTTCCTTAAACAACCATCCTGTGAGGTGGGTTGGGCTGAGAGAGAGTGAATGCCCAAGGTCGCCCTGCTGGCTTTCATGTCTAAAGTTGGACTAGAATTCACTGTCTCACATTTTCTAGTCCGTGCCTTAATCACAGACAAAACTGGCTCCCAGAATACTGTGAGGCAATAGTGGTGTTAGGCCTCAATTTCAGGCCCAGCCTCCATGCTGCTATTTAGGATGGCCTGGATGGGAGGAGGGAGGGGTTGTGACATGCCAGCGGGTTTATATTACTACTCTATACTACAGCATACTCTACACTACTTACTGTAATGTCTTGAGATGTGAGACTACTGGTACAATTACACAGAAGGCAATAAAAGCACAGTCAGGAGGAATGAGGGTAACAAAAGAGAAAATTCATACCTTATTTTTCCAGTGTCTTCCCAAATGAACTAAATCTAACTACTTCCTAATAGAACTTGAGAAATAAGTCAAAAAGTATCTCTGAGGAACTACTGACATGAGGATGCTAGTGATTGGGAACATGTATGCATAGGTAGAATTACTTACAAAAATATATCATGCAACTCCAAAGGTTTTAAACATCAAAACACTATGTTAAATGGCAATCAGTGTAAAATCAGCAAGGTGAGGCGTATTAATGGTGGATGAGATGAGACAAAAGCAAAAAGTAATTTGCACAATGATTCTTTGGATCCCAATCTATGCGGGAGATGGATTATTTAGTCCTTGGATCCACAAATCTCAGGCTATAAATAATTCCTAAAGCAGAATACAATGAAGACTTCCTCAAATCACTATCCCTTTACCTTCCAGAGAACAACCTGAGACTCATAGCTATGCGCTAATTATTGATAACATCAACTGAACTCTGTGGAATTACTGTAGCTGGAGTTATAAATGACATAACTGTATAAGAGGCTTAGTAAGTGGAGTTGTGATAAGTGGAGGTTGAATAAGAAAAGAATTGTTTTCATTAGGCATAGCATAAATCCAAATGAAATGAAAGACATAATTATAGATGGATAAAAAATAATTTGTCATTGTGCTTAGCATTAGTATTCCCATCCTTTTCTAGTTTTCTCTCTCCCAGCAGTTACCATACTTCAGCACAAACCAGAGTCTTCAGTATTACAAACAGAACTCATAAATAAGTGCATAGGTACTTACAAGATCAAGAGCAGCTGCAAGGATAGAAGCATCAGGGATTGTTCCTGGTTCACAGCAGTTTAAGAGAAATTGAAACCGCTTCATGCCTTGCCGAATGGCTCCCAAATTCACCACATTCTTGGATTTGTTTCCCTCTTGGTTGGAAGCCAGATGATCTTCATAAGTCTGACAACCTTAAAAGAAAATCGAAAAGGGAGGGCGGGAGAGAGGGGAAAGAGAAAGCCCCCACCAATGTTTAAACATTCATTGAATCTACTGACAATTCTGAAGCAAATGTCTTCTATTGATCTGCCCTGTCCTTGAGCATCAACAGTGACAGAATGAGAGAGGCATATATTCAAAGTATCTATGACTACAACAAACTCTATGAAGTCTTTAGGACATGTTTCATCTTACCTAGCACCAGAGAAAATGGGTAAGGTTTATGCAAGAGTGGATTGGATCAATGTTCATCACAGTGGGTATAGACACTGATTTTAAAACTTTCCATAAATGAATTATGCTTAGTCTACACTTGGGACAGGGAATGAGCGAAGCACTGCTAAATGTGCAGGAAGTTCACAGATTGTCAAGAAGAGGCATGGGGATATTTCAAAGAAGTTGCACATTGAAGTCAGGAGTCAGCTTGAAACCTGAGCCCATATTTTATGGATTTATGAATTGTCAATGATTATGTCACTTTTGAAGATAAGTGATAAGTGACTTTTGAAGATAGATTGCATGACTGGTATTAAAATGAGGAACGACATGTACCAAACTTAAGATCCTTAATGGAAAAACAGAAGACATGCGTAATTAATAAATATTTCTGGATGACACAACAATAACTGATTGATTATTATAACAGAGAAATAACCCGCTGCATCATTTCATGCTTAAGAAAATAGTTTCACTTTGTGTAAAATTTTGCATTTATTAAATTCAACTTTTTTGACCAGTCAGAACATTTTAAAACAGAAATATCAATCTTAGGAAGCATGAGGGAATAAGACCAAGTCACAACAAACCACCACACATATAAAAAAGAAAAGAAAAAATATTAACAAAAACTAATATCTATGTTTAGTTATGAATTTGTAATAAATTTGTAATCTACAAATTGGGTAAGCCTTGTTTTCTATGTTATTTCCTGCATAACTGATTCATAGAGTCATAAAACTGGAAGAGGCAACCTTCCTGTTCAATGCAGGAATCAAAATGTAGACTTCCAGTTTTGTGCCCGTAGCGCATGGCTGTGCGAAGGCGGATCTCCGCTCCCCACGGCTAGTTTCGTCCTGCCAGGGGGACCCTAGATGGGTCCAAAGTCGCCCCGACGAGGTGACCGTGAAGGAGGGGCACCCCATTGAGCACGAAGTGACAGCAATTGCTTCGTTTGATCCAGGGGAAGCCCTCTGAACCCGACAGGAGAAAGGCTAGCATGAGATCAGCATCTAGCCCAAGCTACTTGCAGTCAAAGTCCCAGAGCACAAACCTGAACATCGGTGAACAGCGTGCTTGGAATTGGTGAGAGTACTGATCTTCTTTCTTCTATCTACTAATTGAATCCTTGATAAAGATTCCCAAAGCAAGAAAACCTCTGGAAGTGAAGGGAGGGGACTATATCCCCATTCCCTTACAGATGGAAGCGGCAAATTAATATTAAGGAGGAAAGAGATATATTAAAATTTGATTTAAAATACTACAGTCTGGATAAATCTAGGAACTAAAAAACTATCAGGATTATACCCTAAAGAGTTTTTGATGGAATTATAAAAATATATAACAAAAATAACTTTTTGATTGAAAAAAAATGAAAAAGAAATAACTGCTGACATCTAGTGGAGAATCAGAGAATAGAATACTAACAATAAGGACTCAGAAATTGGCAGAATGCCTAGAAACAAAGAAAAAGCTGTTCCTTTGAATTGCAAATACCTTGAAGACAGCTGGGAACAAAGGAAGAGCCAGCCATAAGATTAAAAAGTGTCTGAAAGAAAAAAAAAACACCTGGACTGTTGCTTAAATCTAAGAACTGTTTATGGAAAAGAAAAACCTTGGCTTTTGGCTAATCTTTTAGAGGAGAATCTACAGGAAGGATTTAAAGTGGCTTAACATACTGAACTGTAATTTTGACTGACTGATAAATTGACTTTTAAACTAAAACATTGATGAAAGATTATTTGAAGGGGGGAGACAACATGGATATCACATACGTATCAAAAAATGACAGGATGCTACATTCAATATTTTCTCCTGAAGGACTTAGCCTGGAAAATCAAGGGCCTCCAGAAGTAATACTTCAAGGCAAGATAAATACTTTCCAGGAGGAAATATATGTAATGTTAGGACAAATACAAATGACAATAGATTCAAACCACGAGGAAATTTGAAACAAATTTGATGATTTAAATAAGCATATTTCCAATCTAAATCTACAATTAAAAACACCCAGGAAATAACAATGAATGAACAAATAACTCAGATAATAGACTAAAAATTAGAAGAGTATGATCAAATTGATGAAATAACAAATGAAAAGAATTACAATTTAACACAAACAGGAAAAAATCTATAAAGTTCTGATTCAACAAGAAAAATGGAATGGACTATAGAATTACCAGGAGAACTATCAAAGTTTGGAGACAGAAAGTATTCATCTTACTTACTTCATCTTTTGTATTCCCAACAACATTTGTAAAAATACAGGAACCGCCAGGTAAGCGGATTACATCAACTTGGAAAACTACTTGGCAAAAGAAGAAGACCAGAGACAGATACAAAAGATTTGACTCGCCCTCCCAGATGGACTATTACGTGAATAAACATTTGTTTGAATATGGCTAAAAGAATAGAGAATTTTGAACATAAAAGGCCCTTATAACAAGAAGCATAAGAGATTTAAGTAATATAGTATGTTCTATAATATACGAAATGTAAAAATAGCAGGTTGATGTAACTTTAATTAATGTAAGTGAAATATAAACTGATTAAAAAGGATGTTATATTTAGATATTATAAGATAGATAAAAAGTATAGTATTTTTATAATGCATGACATAAAATATTGGGATGATGTACCTAAATGGGAAAGTTTGGACAGTTAGATGACTAACATATGAAGAAATTATGACTGATAAGAATTAGATTGAATATAAGGTAAATTAAGTGTAAACAAAAATTATGAAAATAGGATGCATGCTGAATTAATGAGATGATGGTTATAAGAATAATATAAGCTGAAAAAAATTTATACATAGAGATTATTATTATTTGTATAAATATAAAAATCCTATATCTAATCATTTATATATTGAAAATATTAAGAATTATATTTTGGTTAAGGTTGAAGAAGGAGAATATAAATGGGAGAAGGGAAGATCAAAGAAATATATCATTAATTAATATATTAATTATGGAATTATTAAATTTAATCAATATTGATTGTTAATTAATTATTATTTTCCTTTTTTTCTTGATAAAATATAAACCAAGACAACACACTGTGCACCAGGCACTGGAGATTGTTATAGTTAAAAACCAATAAAATATTTATTTAAAAAAATGTAAGCATTCCAGGCAGATAGCTGTTCTCTACTTAAAAACATTGAATGCTATCATATCTCCCTCAATAATCTTTTCTCGAGGTTAAACATACTCAACTCCTTCAATCTTTCTTCATGTGCTTAATTTCTAATCTCTGGTCATCTTGGTTGCCCACTTCTCTAACTTATCCATATTCTCTGATTTAGTGTTAATTCCTTCCAATTTTATATTATTTGAACATATAATAAAAGCTTCTTCCTCTCCTTTATCCAAATCATTAATGAAAGTATAAAAAGTAGAGGATTGATCTTTGCAGCAGCTCATTACTTTTTAATCTGACAAAGAACCATAGATGAATACTCTTTGAGTACAGTTTTCAAGACAACTATGTATCCATGTCATTGTCATTTTATTCAGGTCATGCTTGTGATACATCAGGGGTGTCAAACTCGCAACATCACGTGACGTGTCGTGATGTATCACGACTTTTTTACCATTGCCGGCAATTGGGTGGGCACAGTTTCCCCATGACATATCCGGCCCATGGGCCGCCAGTTTGACACCCCTGTAATACATCTTCAGGTGGTTACATCCTCAGGTACTTTATCAAATGCTTTGCTGAAGACAAAGTAAATTTTAACTATAGATTCCCACAATCTTTTAAGGAAACTGCTTAATTTCTTTTTAAAATGAGATAAAATTAGTATGACAAGATTTGTTCTTGACAAACTTACTTATTTCTAGTAATTACTGCATTGGTTGCTGTAGAATATTCCCAGGCATTCCTGTTAAATTGTTTTATGATATTCCCCTCCCCCTTTGTGAAAATGTGGACAACATTTACTTTTCTTCTGTCATCTAGCACTTCATCAGTTCTCCAGAACTGGATTTGGCCAAAGCATCAGCAATTCATTCAGTTAGTGTGGCCACTTATGGCACCAAACCTGCCTACTTTAGCTTAGAGTAAACGCCTTCCTTCCTTCCTTCCTTCCTTCCTTCCTTTTCTGCTAGCCAAGTTCAACTTGATTCTTTATTTGTCAGAAACTTTGTTAGGGACTCCACCTCAAACTCTTCTAAGTAAACTCCCTAACAAGGGAGTAGGCAGGGTAAGCTCAAAATAGTCAAGATGGCAGCCATAATGTTGCAATGGAAGCTCCACCAGTTTTGTACATGCAACTCACATAAAAAAGCAGAACATCAATTGCACTTTTGTGGTGAACATCTTGAATTTTGGCCATAGCCTGCAGCCCTGCTCCCAAGCTTAACTTCCTCAATCAGCTGACTCTCTGAAATCAGTCAGCCTTATACTCCCTCTACAGTCTTTTTACTTAATAGGAAGAAGACAACCAATTACCCACAATGGCAGTAGTTCAGGAAATGACTTTTTCACTCCTCACAGCTCAGCAAAAAAATGATTCAGAGCGTATAGTTTCGCTCTTCTCTTTTCTTTTTTTTTCAATTCGATTTCAGTTCCATTTCTATCAGTTCTACCCTTGCTCACTCAATGAATGATGCGACAACTCGTTCCTGGGGTTACTTGGTTTGTTTCAGTTTTCTGTAAATACTGTTCTTATGAGCTCACATTTGAGTAAGATTGAGTAAGATTAATTGCATTACATAATTAAGGCTGCAGTCCTGAGGTTACTCATATTCTGCCACACTGCGCTGAACCTAACCTAAGAACGTTTGCATATTGTATGTATTGCCTCTACATTTTATTTTAAAACAAATTACTCCTTAGTACATCAATAAGATCTTTATATTGCATGCTACTGAGTTATGAACTAAAACTATTCATTAGCTCCTATTTTCATATAATGATCTCAAAAGCCAAACAAAATGGTATTTTCATCACTATTGGATAAGCCGTTCCATTTTAAAAACAGATTTTGTACAATTTAAAAAATTGAAGGTTGAAATAAAAAAATTTCTACTTGAAATTAACACTTAAATTAATACTTGTATTACCATACTAAGAGATACCAATAATCATATGTCATATGTCTTCATCTGAAATATCATTCTCTTTATATAAAAAGGCATTTTATGAAGGAGCAATGGCTAAATGAGGTAATAACATCACTTCCATGTTTAATGAAGCAATATGTAATGTTGGGTCATGTAAGGTTTTGTGAAAAAGGCAACTAAATCCATTGAGAGGGGATGCTGTGTCCCTTTTTCAATGCAAAAACAGGAAAATAACAAGATGCAAGGTTATTTCTTTGATAACGAGAAGCTCACATATGCATATCTGAAATATTTGAAAGCAGTTAAAACCTAGCCTTGTTTAGAGGCAAAGACTTGTTTCCTTAAAAATAATAAAGTAATCAATCATATTTGTCATATAATTGTTCTCAATATCATTTATAATTTTGCTAAGAATGAAGGACAGCATCTCTATAAGAAATGGCATGACAACACAAGACAAGCAAACACAGAAGAAAAGAGATAATTAAAACACATTTGTACAGGGTTTTCCATTTCATCAGTGCTGAATTTTACTGAAAATGTAGATGATCAATAATGGGGAATAAAAGCTGGTGGGCACATCCAACGTTTCACATCAAGAACCCAAGTGAAATATTAGCATACTATGTTTGAACCCAGATATCTGTTTCCAAATTTCATATTTTCCAAATATTGAATTTGATTTCTTCAAAGGTCAATTTTGCCTTATCTAAATGCATTGGCCCATATATGCTTTTCCTTCTTGGCTAGAACTGAATGAAAATAAAAAAATGACATAAGAAGAAATGAAAAAAAGTAATGGCTATAAAATATATAAAGCCATAGAAAACAAAATAGGTCCAGAAAATATGTTTTTAAAGGTAAAGGGTGAATTAGAGAAAGAAAATATTTTTTAAAAAAAGAAGGAACAAAGAAAAAGATAAAAGTTTAAAAAAAGGACTGAAGAAACAGAACCCTGATTTCTAACCATCTTTTTCTTCTGTGTGATGAAGCCTGGATGGATGTCTTCGGCAGGTGCGCCATTTACCAAGACGCTTGAAGAAATTCTCCTCTTCTTCACGCCCATTTTCCATGCCACTTCCAGGCCCACCTTCCGATAGCTTCACTGCACTAGTAAATTTCACCTAAATGTTAAAAGAAGCATCATTTCATTGTTTTCATTGCTGAAGTAAACATAGCATTTTAAATATTCTCCTTAAGAAATATTCTCCTTTATTAGTAACATTTTAAAGCCCATACCTCCATAAAGAGAACCATGTTGAGGGAATCACAGTTGAATAAATAGGAAACAGGAGCAAAACAACCTTCCTTCCTTCCTCTCCTTCCCTCCCTTCCTCCTCTCTCCTTAGTGCTTAATATAGCTATTCTTCTACCTCATGACTTCTAAAGAAAACTAGTCACTTAAGAGAGAAGGCTAAGAAAGCTCGTCAGTGGCTTCATTTTCTCTGCCTGTAGGAATACTTGAGTGCCATTTATTTTTTGGAATTATTGCTTTGTTCAGAAAAATACTCATCCAGAAAGAAAGTTTTAGCTTCTAGTAAAGCAAAGTTTAGCTCCAATAAAACAATAAAACCTGTAAAGTCCATATTTTCATATTTAGGTTCCTTGCAGTTTACCAATAAGCTGGCAGTGTGGAGAACAATGATGGGAAATTAAAATGCTTGAGAAATGCAATTGAAGCTGTAGCTCAATCCCAACCTTTAGCCATGTTTAAAGTCTTCTGCACAAATATTTAGATATAGTAGTTTCACTCCCTCCTTTCCTTTTTTCAGCCCTTCTCTTTCTTGACATTTGTTATTTTCTTCAGCTTAGTTTGGTTTTGATGCAAAATTTTGTTTTAAAATTATTTGTTCTTGTACCAAATTCCTTTAGCTCTAGAACCTATAGTAAGAGTCAAACCTCTGCACTCTAAAGTCCAGTTAATTTCATATATTTGTGTTTTCCCCCCTGGACATCACACTACTGAGTGCTATGTTCTCTGATGCTCAATAACCTAAGGCTTTCACATATTTTAAATGGGTATTTAAAAGCAGAAACATTCAATTTGTGCCCACAGTGTTTTCTAATTAGACCTGACAAACTGGGAAGAAAAGTTGTTTGTGTCCATATTATTCTGGAGTATATAATCAATTGGGCTATATATTTTCCCTTTCCAATCTATTTTAGCCCCACGGTCCAATTTTTATTTGCATGCAAACATCACAGATGTATAGCAACCTATTGCTCTTTTCTATTTTCCATTGGAAAATATTTTTCCTAGTATGTGGCTTTTCAAATCTCATTTATAGGATAATTAATATAGCATTGGGTATTGGGATGGCAAGGGCTTGATCTCTTCACTTATTTGTTTTTGTTTTGTTGCACTTAGCCACTTAATAGGTTTGTATATACTGTATGTTTGTTAAAAATGAAAGTCTGCAGTTGGCTAGTTGGTTGAGTTATTTTTCCCCCCTCAGAAGTAAATGTTCTTCCCTTTGTTGAAATGCTGAGAGTATGACACAAGTTTGGAAACGATTCTGGTCTCTTTATTGTATTGATGAGTGTGTATGTGTATGTGAAAGGAGACTGTGCAGCAAGAAATGAAAGTAAAAGCGTGCATGGCTTAGTCAATTCTTTAAGATGGAAGACTGATAATACTTGGAAGAATGCACAAATTTAGAAACAATATGCAGTGACAATTTCAGTCCAGGAAGAAAGTAATATAGATGTTGAAGATATAGGTAAAGATACACAGAAAAATAAACATGCACATTCAATATTAGATAGCTTTTTTTTAAAGTGTGAAAGGGTTGCATATTTACCCTGGAGCTCTGCCTGATGAAAGAAAGACGATCCACAGAGCTAATATCCAGAAGATCTTCTACACCATCTGCCAAACCAGAAATTGATGAACGTTTCAGCCAGTTCCCTGTAATACAGAAAGAGTAGGTGTGAATATCTTTCTGATACTACTAGTTGAATAATGTACATCTCTCATTACTGCTACTAAGGACTCAGTTCCTAACATCTGAACAAAATATTAGGAGTCATATAAAGGAAGATGGGGAAAAATTCAAAGACACTGAATAGCATGGCAAAGTATCTTCATGTATAAAGCTTCCTGGGTGGAGAGAATCAGTGGAGACCCCTGTTCAAGTCTGCCCTCAACTGTGGAATCTATCTGGATGACTTTGGGCCAATGTCCATCGCTTTCATGGCTGATGTTGTGGGATTAAAAAGGAAGATAAATCCCCACATGCTCCTGGAGAAAAGCACAATATCTAACAAACCAATAATTGAATGACCTAGTGGGAGTTTGAGTTTCTTTCTCAGGGAGATCCGTCTGGAGCGGGAGCGGGAGCGCCTCTCTGTGGTCATTCCTGAGTGTGCAGTTGTGCATTCGGAAGTGTCTGGCTCCGACTGGCTGCTGGTATCGCTAGCTGCACTCTGAGATTTAAACATTTTCCGCCAGAAATCTTTGCGCCCTAAGGCTGCTCCTTGCATTTGTTCATCACTGTGAAGGAATGACATGGCTGGTAAAACTTAGCAGAATGAAAAAAAGAAAGAAAAAATAGGGCAGCATCTTTCTCTCTTCTAATCTTGCCCTGTGCCCTGGACATTGGAAGTTGTTAAGCTAATTTTAAAAGAGGGAATAAGCAATAAACCTATCATCATAAAAATGATATACTGAAAAATATCAATAATTGGATTTGTAACCCTTGTAAAGTAGGACAGTAAACACTAGGAGGAAAGTATATAATATTTCCAATAAAGTAATAATCTTTATGTAGTAAATTAGGAAGGTGCTGAGATGGTGAATATGATTTGCCTAAGGCTAGGCAGAATACAATATTCTACAATGCTAGCACTGCAGAGAGCAGAAGTTGTTGAGAAACAACTTCCACATAATTATGTGAACCTTTTTCTCTCAGCTATGATAGCTAACTTCTACATTGCTACAATGAAAACGAAACCAGCAGATTCAAGTCTGAACAGTGTTGCTTTTGCTTTTTAAATTATGTTTGTAAATAACCTGATTGTTGATTAAAATAAAATGTATTGATTAATTTACTTACTGCTCAGGAGTTTGCATTGGACGGCCTGAGACATAGCTGCGACATTCATCAGGAGCAGAAGACAGCTGTCCTTTATCAATAACAACACTTCCTACTTCGGATCTACAAAGACAAAGCTTTTAGTCACAGGAACCATAACATATTGTATTTATTCCTATTTAGCTTCCTAATATTATTTTTAAAAGTATTTCTAAAACAGAAAGACGAGGTAAATTTTCTTCTTGCAGTTTCCCATCAGTACTTCATATATCAATCATGAATGGTAACAGCAGTCAAGGGCATGAAAATATACCAAATTGATAATCTAATTTGTAAGCGAGTCTATTTAATGTAAATTCAGAAATGCTTCTCATGAAGTTAAATATATCTTAATTAGCTTGTAATTATATGGGAGTAAATATGTATAGGATTCTGTTACAAAAATTTTCAAAAAGATTCTTTTCAAGAAAAATTGTGTGTTCTATCAAATTGAAATTTCTCTACACAGGGACAGATATATGATAAAAAGGGCATGCTGCTGTAAATGTGTCTTGGATTAAAAATGTCTACCAAAGTATATCCTTGGACAGTTGTATATAATACAACACACACACACACACACACATATTTGTATGAAGTTATAGATAGATAGATAGATAGATAGATAGATAGATAGATAGATAGATAGATAGACAGACAGACAGACAGATAGATAGATAGATATTGTAGCTAATTCCATACAATAATGGTTATATCAGAAAAAGTAGTGTATGAAACAGTTGTTAGAAAAAAAATACTTCTTCCATGTTTAATTGGGGGGGGGAATGAGAATGTCATCTATCCCACTTGAATTAATTAGCAAAGAAAGATTCCTGGCACATTATTATTTTCCAAGAGTATACTTTACTAAGAACAAAGTGATTACAGATTTTTGCAAGGCAGAATCTGTTGGCTTGGAACAAGAAGAATGCAATTAAGTTCTCCTTTTTCCCTGGCCAACCCATTATCAATGTCCAATTAGACGTTCTCAGGTTGTTTTGGAAACGGCCTGTGCACCATCTCCACATTTCTTTTGGCTGACCTTGTGTCAGGGCCAACACAGCTTCATTCCCAACCCCCTCCCCTTCCCTCACATTCCAAGCTCTTCCTTCCCCCCCTCCCCCACATTGCAAATGTCAGGCTGGCAAGATGTGATGCAAAGCTAGAAGCAACATTACAGCCATGATGGAGAATATGGATCCATAATCTGAATCGATGCCATATTGACTTGAAGCAGATCATCCCTCCTCACAGATAAATGACAGAGATAGCTACTGTACTTAATCCAGCATCTTATTCTCCTATGTTGTATAAGAATGATATTTTTTAGAACAACTTTTCAGCTGAGTAACCCGAACACAGTTCTTAACTCTGCTTTAATCCTGTGCATTTGAATGGAATTAAAGCACACTTCACTGCAATCTACTGTGTATGAATATCATAAGACATCTTTGGGGAAGGGAGGATTTTGAGAGCAAATAGTATTAGCATGATTCATCTTCTTCCCAAAAGCGAAGCTGACAAGTCTGGGTATGGCTGACCTTACTATATCATTCAAGCATCTTAATGGCTTTTCCAGTCCAGATACATACTTTTTACTCCCTGGTGGCTTGGGTTCCTGTTCAGTATTTTCTTCTGTTTTTCTTCCTGGAATCAACTTTTCTGCACTGTCCAAAAGGGCACTAAGAGCTACTCTTCTGAAAACATTTCCATGAGCCTCCTTGATAAACTGTACCAATTGTCGGATGTCACAGTACAAACCCTGAAGCCAGCAGGATGTCATTTTTTTTTAGGAGGGGAGGAAAAACAGTTTGTTAGGCTTCTAACATACAAACATTTTCTTTCTCTGTTTTCTTAAGAAAATCAATCTAGGTTTCCGGCCTTCTGTTGCTATGAAATAAATTTCAGTAATGAATTTAACAGAAACTACCTGAAATGTTGAAAGGAAAGGCCGAAGAGTTGCCATATTGAACAACACAGTGATGACTTTTTCAAGTCAAATTAATGGCTAGATGCAAATTCAAAGGAAATTTGGTTCTCTCGTGTTTTACTGAACTGCATGACATTTTCCAAAATTCACCTGCCAACATTTATTAATTTAAAAAAATAATTTTAAACAATATATATTTTGTCTTTCCACCCCTTTTTTAAAGAAGGTGGCACAATTCAACAATTTATATTGAGAATAGAAAAGATAATTCTTAAAAACCTATGTCATAATTGAATGAAAAGGAAAGTTGCCCTTACCAGGTTCTCAGGACTATGGAGCTCATGCGTAGTAGAGGCACAGCGGGTGATTAGAGATTTGAACATAGCACTGACAATAATGCCCTCAATACTTTGGGCTGTAGATTTGTTGTCCATAGTGGTGAAGTTATTTCCAAAACCAGCCTTGTCTACAAAATGCAAAGTAAAATAGTTAAACTGCATGGTTAAATTTCAGAAAAACAGTAACATATATAATTGTAACACCTGAAGTCAGCAATTCCTGATCTGCAATAGCATTCTTTATCCAGAGGAGGGATTTGTTACTTGGGGCAACCACATGGGGGGGAGTACTCCAAAATGAGCCTGGCAGTATAAAAAAGGAGTGAAGACAAAGAGCCCATGTCTCATTCAATTAAAACAAACAAAAAGTTAAACACACACATTGCACATACTTAAAATGAATACATTCAGGCACACATCTGCAGGAAAGCTGAATGCTAAGGATGGCAATCTATACTTACTGTCAGTAACTGGTTCCATACAAAATCCTAGCAAAGCATGTAAAAAATCCACCACGTTGTTCAATGAATCTTTGTTCACATAATCTCTCATTGTCTGACGAAACTGCATCTTATCCAGTTTATATAATTTTGTAAGACAGTTCTGAGCCTGTTAGGAAAGGTTGTAAAAACGCCAAACTTAGGTTCTGCTGGTAATAATCACAGAGGACTACAGTGAATTCAATCTGTTAGTTCCTGAATAGTTAAAAACAGTACCCAACGAACTTCATAAAATAATTAGAGAGGATTTTAACAATTGCCTTCCTATGTTTGTTAATATAGTGACTTACTGGACCCAAAGCTTCTAGGGGAATAAAGGTTTTGGGATAATACATAAGATACAAGTATTTAAAATTTAATACATGTGCACTACAATTTAGAAGCCAATTACATAGGCAGTTATTTAGCAACATCTAAGGAACTAGGTGAGGCTGCTATATTTTTAATGACCAGATGCTATAGTACAAAATCAAGTTTTTGTTCCACTTTGTTGTTATAATAGGAGTCTGATAAGAGTGTGCTGGAATTCTCACTTACCTTTGTGGTGTCAGGTCCCCTTGATAACCTGGTCTTTTCTCCTAGATCTAAAGGGCCCCTCTTTTGCCCTATCACTATTCACATTACTGTAAACATTCATGGTTGATTTGAAGCTAAACCATAACAATCAGTATGTTGGTATATGACCAAACACTGTACCCTTAACAACTGGAGAGCCACTGAAATCCAAATAGTATGGATTTAAAAGGGGAGAGATTTGGAACCAACTTCTTTTCCATCCTTCTGAAGTTTTATACCTGATGTCTCAGACGATCCCCAGAGAGTCCTCGGTGACCTTCTCCACAGCCATATGCACAGCCCAGAGACTTCACAATTTTTATCAGCATTGTCAGAGCCAGCCTATGAGTGCTTACTGGAGTATTTTCATCCTTAGCAGCACAACATTTAAAGAAACCAGAAAGACCAGAGAGAAAGCTGTTCAGTTTATGATCAGAATCAGAAAAATAATATCAAACTGGTGCATGCCAGTTTATCTATTAACAGAATAAATCTTACACAGAAGTTTTTTCTACAAATGATAACATGAGACCATTAAGGCTTAAAGGTATCTTTAAAGGAGACAGCTTTAATGCTGGTAAACAAAAAGATCAGATTTAGATGGATAGGTTGCCTGGGTCTGATCAAAGGACTTTGAAACACAGAGAGAAGCAATTCTCTTTATTGTTTACAATCTTGGAAGAAGTAAGAACACATAGTATAAATGTATCCCAGATCCAGCATCCCCCTTCTCACAAATGTCAACCAGATGACTTTGGGAAGACCACCAANATGCTGGTAAACAAAAAGATCAGATTTAGATGGATAGGTTGCCTGGGTCTGATCAAAGGACTTTGAAACACAGAGAGAAGCAATTCTCTTTATTGTTTACAATCTTGGAAGAAGTAAGAACACATAGTATAAATGTATCCCAGATCCAGCATCCCCCTTCTCACAAATGTCAACCAGATGACTTTGGGAAGACCACCAAGAGAACATAAATATAGTAACCTTACAAATCACACCAATTTTCTACAAAAGCCAGTTCTAAAAGGTAAACTGCCTTTGATCCTGGAAGTACTTTTGTTACTGGTGGTCTTATCCATGTTTTCTTATCCCCCCTTAAAGCTGTCTATGTTGTTGGCCATTATGGCATCTTGGAGAATTGAGTAACAGTGTGCTAAATGCACACATGTTTCATGTGGTCTAATCTGATTTTCTCACCCTGAGATTAATTGGGTTACTCTGGATTCTAGTACTTTAATCTACATATAACATTCCACCTATGACTGCATGTTAGATTTTATAAGGGTACAATAATATAAACAGCTTTATTTTCGGTTCTGCTCCTAATGAATTCCAACATTGAATTTGTCTTCTTTGTAGCAGTTACTTATTAAGTTGACATTTGTTCATCACATCACAAGATCTTTCCCAGTCAGGTGCCAATAAGTGAAACCTGCATGCTTCTCTCCATTTAAATGTAGAACCTCTGAGGACTACACATTGAGGACAATTGATCAGCCAGTTGCAACTTGCTGAATCTTTTATTATGTATGATTGCTGATTTGGCAGAACTCAGAAGAATACGCAGTTCTCCAAATGCAAGTATTCTTGCATTTGTTATTTGTAGCTCACAGTAAAGTATTACAACTTTACTCATGCTAATGCTAATAAAATACTGTTATTGCAAAAGGCGTACAAATTTAACTAGAAGAAATTCTTCAAATTAAGGTGGGAGTGTAAGAACATCCTTCTAATTTTTGCTTCGGGAAATAAGATCAAGATCTTACACTGCATGCCACATACACTGAAATGACTTGGATAACTCTTCCATGTGCTCCTCTATCCCATATTGAGTTTCAATATTTACACATTCATGTGAATATCTGAACAGGGATATCAGATGACAATACCTCTGAAGGCAAACTGAGAAATAAAAATAAATCTTAATTCATACCCTGGGATTTTAACAGTTTGCAAAACACAATATCAGAAATTAAATTAGGCAATGGACCATCACATCAATATGGAAGCTTCTGTAAAAATGCCTTTCAGCATTAACATAATAGTATTGATTGGCAAATAATGAGCCTATAAAAGTTTCAACATACCTTGTCTTCCTTCTTATCATTCTTTTCAAAAGATCTTCCGCCACCTTCTCCCCCTCCTCCTCCTCCTCCTCCTCCACCACCACCACCACCACTTCCTCCATCTCCTCCACCACCACCTCCTCCTCCAGCAGCACTTCCAACTCCTCCTCCTCCTCCTCCTTCTCCACTGCCATCTCCTGCTCCAGTGATTGGAGTAGTCCCAAATCCAGATGCTGAGGTAGTCAAAGCCCCCTTGAGTTGAAAGGAAGTTTCACTTTGTCTCTTTTCATTGGTCTCATTCTCTTTGTTCTCACTTTTCCTTCTGAACTTCTCCACACAGGGTACCACACCAAGCTGAAGCAGACATTCCACAATGTTGAGGGCCACATCACAGATCCGGGAGCTGATGTCATGATTCAAGACCAAGTAAACTGCTTTAAGAACCACCTTGAAAGAAGAAATGTGAGATATTGCAGGCAGCACTATATTCGCATATTGTTTGCAAAAAACCTGACTATGGGTTTCTAAAGAAATGGTCCAAAAGTGATATCCTACAACAAGGTGACATCTTCAATTATAGCATAATAGCAAGTGAACAAATATATATATAAGCCACCCTAAGCATAATCCAGGTCAATTTTCTGGTAGCAGTGCTTTTTTAGCTGATCTAAAACAAATCTGCCTTCGATAGAAAGTAGTTTATTGCTGAAAGAATATAAAACAAAAACAATGTTTCATAAAATCATAGATTTTCAAGTCCCTAGTCTGAAAGATGGCTATCTGCACACACCTAGTCAAGGGAGCTTGCCACTCCCTTAGTTATAGTACTACAGGTAGTCCTCAACTTACGATCATAATCGAGCCCCAAATTTATGTTGCTAAGTGAGAAATTTGTTAAGTGCCCTATTTTATGACTTTTCTTGCCATATTTGTTAAGTGAATCACTGAAGCTGTTAAATTAGTATCATGGTTATTAAATGAATCTGGCTTCCCAATTGACTTTCCTAGTCAGAAGGTTGCAAAAGTGGCCACATGACCCCAGAACACTGCATCTGTCATAAATTGAGTCAGTTGTCAAGCATCCGAATGTAACTCACATGACCATGAGGATGCTGCAACAGTCATAAGTGTGAAAAATGGCCATAAGTCGCTTTTTCAGTACCATTGTAGCTTCAAACAGTCACTAAGTGAACTGTTGTAAGTTGAGGATTACCTGTATTTCCTTTGTCAAACTCTTACAGTATTTGCCTTTCTATGTTTGGAAATATTATTCTGGGGCATACATTATGGGATAATAGACCTCCTTTCAGATATTCGAACACTATTCTCATATTCATAGAATGTCAGCATTGGAAGGGACCTTGGAGCTCTTCTAGTCCAGTGCTTGAGTAGGAGATCCTATACCATTTTAGATAATTGACTGTCCAATCTCTTCTTAAAAGCCTCCAATGATGGAGCACCCACAACTTTTGAAGGCAAACTGTTCCATTGGTTGAGTGTTCTCACTGTCAGGAAATTTCTCGTTAGTTCTAGGTTGCTTCTCTCTTTAGTTAGTTTCCATCCATTCCTTCTTACCCTGTCTTCTGGCCTTTGGAAAATAAGTTAACCCGCTCTTCTTTGTGGCAGCCTTCAAATATTGGAATATTGCTATAATGTCACCCCTATTGCTTCTTTTTACTAGACTAGACAAACCCAATTCCTGCAATCATTTTTCTTATGTTTTAGCTTCCAGCATCCCAATCATCTTTGTTGCTCTTTTCTACACTCTTTCCAGAGTCTCAACATCTTTTTTATATCATGATGACCAAAATGCAGTACTCCAAGTGTGGTCTTACCAAGGCATTATAAAGTGGAACTAACACTTCATGTGATCTTGATTCTATAGCTCTGTTAATGGAGCCTAGGATTGCATTGGCTTTTTTGGCGGCTGCAGCACACTGTTGACTCATATGTAAGTGTTTGTCTACTAGGACTTCAGGATCCCTCTTGCAGTTACTGCCGTTGAGCCAAGCTTCACCTAATCTGTCCTTGTACATTTGGTTTTTCTTGCCTAAGTGTAAAACCTGTGCTTCAAGTGTTCAAGTCTGTTGAGATACATCTGGATCTTGAGCCTATCTTCTGCAGTTTTGGCAATTCCTGTCAGCTTGGTGTCTGAAAATTTGATGAGTTCCCCTTTTATTCCCTCATCTAAATCTAAATATTCCCACATGGTTGTCTTTAGTCAAGGCTGAATATATCTATTAAGACTTTGGATCCAGTCTGCAAAAGGTGCTTCAGAATACATGGGAGTACCAGTGTAACACATGTCAGCAACAGTTCAAAGCAGCTGTTTTTCTTGGGATCTCCATAAAATTGCAATTGGTGCCATGCCAGGAAAGGGTGCAGCACATAACTGTAGATGCTATACTTGTATTCTCATCCACTCTGGTGTACCTTCTGGAGGCTAGGTCCAAAGCACTGCACAGCTCTAATAGCAGTCCTTCAACCTCCATATAAACATTTATAAAATTTGAACTCATACAAGCTTCCATTCCCTGATTAGGTTTCTCCATCAATCTTGCATTGAAATTCTGCTCTTTGAAAAAGCTCTTCATAATGACCTGATGGGATGCATATCCTGTTCTGAAAGAAGACTGATGCCAAATAGGGTTGAATTGTTCTACTTTCTCTTTGTTAGTTTTTACCTTTTGTTCTTCTTTTTGTTCTTCTTTTATTGTGAACTTACATGGAAAATATTTTTTCTCAGCATAATTCATTAGCCTTGATTTATTATATATATATTTTTGTCATCTTTTCAAATCAGGGCTACTTTTATGTACTTTTGCATGATGATTGTCCCATTTTTCACCTCATATGTCTTTCCCCTTGATTGTGCAACTGGTTGGTTTCTTCTGCTGCCTTCCACTTTTTCCCCATCTGGAATTGTTTGCTACTGTCCTTTTTTGGGAAGTTCCACTAGTCTTTGGCTTCTTTTCCCATTATTTTCTTCTGCTGCAGGAATCTAGTTATCATTGTTTTGATAACTGACAAATTAGTGCTCTTAAAATCAAGAATGCTAGCATTCCATAATTGTCCAAATGTTCTTACTATTGTATTTCTACTCCATTTAGTATACCAAATAGGCTACAATTAAGTCAAACTCATGTTTTTCTCCGCCTTCTGAAGGAAAATATTTTCAAAAGACAAGATGTTGCTAAAAGGTCTATCTCTGAATGCACATTATGTTGGCATACTTAACATCCTCCAGGTTTGACAGATATTCATCTCTATCCTAAGTATCTTGCCTCTCCTTCTCTTTCAATACCCTGAAAAAGATCAATGCTATCTTCTTAGCGTTGTGTAGCTGGTACCTAAAAGATACCAATAAATTAACGTAAAGTCTTTCTCACTGAAATGTATTCCACTGTAATTAAAGGCTCTTAATTTATGGAAGTTTATAAATTAGCCCCTCCCCCTAAGACAGCAATTTTTTTTGAGCACTTTATGGAGTTTGAAAACAACCCAACAAGATTTAAGCCTGCTGGTCAATCAGTGGCACTAAACTATATACTTTTACTCACTGAGAAATAGGAAAATGAACTTCTTAATTTGCATTTTTAACCTACTCCATCCTATAAATACAATCTGGGTAACAAAAATTTTAGGGCATAACACAGGATAAAATAAAATATGTGACATGATAAAGAAAATCATGTTTTCCATATAATATTTCCATTTTTAACCAGAACTTCCTATAGGAACCTGGTATGCTATATTAAATTATTAATTATTAATAATGCTGTATTAAATTCTTTTCACCAAGAATTGGTTGTATATTTTACTTTACTATTAATTGGTGGAATGACCTTTATGCAGAGCTGAAATGGAACAAGACTGCATATTTAAGGGATTTTGATTTCCATCATACAATAACTAGCACAGAAAGGAATATTCCTTTTTCTTGATCATTACCGAAAGATCCAGCATGCCATTCTTGTGGACAAAGTTGCTGGTCCCATCTATGTGATCTGTATCTTCCAGGCAACTATAGTTGATACAAGAATCTGTCAGACTTCGAGGGAGATTGGCACATGCCAGGGGCTCATGGGGCATTTCTGGTATGGGCACCTGGTTGCAGAGCTTGCGCATGTGCTCACTGAAGAAGTCAGCATAGCCCACATTGAAAGAGGCCAGCGTGGTATTGAAGGTGGCCACTGTGATGGTGGAAATTTGGGAACGTACTGCAAGAGAGCATTACAGATATTAGTTCATTGGACAGAGCACTTGATATGAAGGTGTAAGCTGATTCATTTAAGTACAATATTCAGCTCTAGAACATTACAACAATTATTCATAACTAATTAAGTGTATAATGACTAGAAGCTGAACTAAATAGAGGAAAGAGAAATCTATTAGTCTATTCTGGAACCCTTGTAAGATCGGCCAACATTTGGGAAAATATTAGCTGTTAAGAGTTCAAACAATATATCATCTTTATCTACAGTAATTCCTGCAACACTGCTCTCTTCTGATTTAATAAGAAGACACACATATAGCTGGGAGCTGATGTAAGCACAAGTCCTGAAAAAATCCTGGGTAACTCAAAGGTTTGTGATTTCTCATAGGAGAAAAGTGAATTAATGTACCCATATTCTAATTCTAACTAGTTGTCATCTGGGTTTCTTCAAGAACTCTGTGCTGGAAAACTTGCTCAGTGCTCTTGAATATCACCTCACCGTGGCTGTTGGAGTGGTCTGGCAGGTCAGTAACCAAAGTATGGTGGGAATGAGAATGCCGAGCACTCAGACTTTCCATCTCGGTAGCTGTATCAGAGCTGCCCCGCCTAGTAAATCTCCCTGGAATAGAAAAAAAAGACATGCATTGTGCTGTTAGTGCTGCAGTGTAATTTTAATTTTAATTTTAATTTTAATTTTAATTTTAATTTTAATTTTAATTTTAATTTTAATTTTAATTTTAATTTGTTGTCACCCATCTTGCTATTCTATCATTTACCAAGGAATCATTTGCAAACTGCATAATATTTAAAATTAAAAAAAATAGGATTAGGATTCATAGGGACTGTACCTTTGTGGACTGTTACAATACAAATTTCAGATCATTATTATGTCCACTGATTAAAGAGACTTTGAATGAGGCACAGACAATTGGTTGAAGTGATGGGTTAAACAAAGTTGGCAAACTCATTTACTCTGAACTGGGTTCAACAGGGGCCAATTATAAATAATATGGGATTTTTCCCTTGTTCAGTCCATTGCCCACCAGTGATTAGGGGTGAAGGGAGGGTTATTTGGCCTTATATTCTTGCTCAAACAGCAGCTTTTTTTTTTTATTCTAATGCATCAGTTTCATGGCTCATAGTGTTTGACTTTGTTTTGATGAAAAGTTATATCCCTTATTTTCTTTTCATGAATCATGATTCTTAAAAGTTCTGGGGTGAGCAGCTTCAAAAGCTGGAAATGACTGGGCATCTCCAGACCAGAGGGGTCTTGGATGTGGCAGCAAAACTGCAGTGAGGAGCACAGCCATTGCATTTCTTACTACAATGGGTACAAATGAGTGAGAAAGTACTATAAGGAAATGAAAATGCCCCTCTCCTTTCAGGTGAGGTGAAGAGACCAAGAAAATGAGTATCTGTAGTTGTAATGCAGAGTGATCATTAAGTGAGTTAAGAGCATTAGGAATTCGATTAGAATGGATCAATGAGCTGGAAGCAATCTGCTTCCAGTGGGTAGAAAATAATTCTTGAATCCAGACTAAGCAAAAAACATATATGTAAGATTAAAAGAAAAATGTGCATAGGTAATAACATATAACAAATAGGATTTCTATAAGATTAAATTGATTATTACATTAAATGTTGTACATGGGTTCTCCCTCACTCTTGTACCTCCTTCACGGCTTTATTTCTTATTTCTCCTCCAATCTGGTCTGGTGATCCCTTAATTCACCAGAGGAGATTGGAGGATGTGTGAACAGTGCAAATAACACAACCCGTAAAATAGGAAAGAAGAATTCATTGTTGTTGTTCATGTTGTTCATGATTATAAGTAACTGATGTCCACAACCAGTAGAAAACTCTGGTTATCAGAAAAGTTATTTGTCCTCAGTAATAGCCTCTCATTCACCTAGAATAGTGGTTTGCCACCCTCCTCTCTCAATGCCACGCCTGTCTTCGCCAATCCCAGAGAAGCTGCCAAAAGAAAATGTGCTTCGAGTAGGTGATACATCCAAATGGTCTTCATGGAGAAGAAAGGGCACTCCCATCCGCCGCTGCCTTTTCTTCCCTGTGTGGTGGAAAGGAATAGAGCCCTTGCGCTCACGATCCTCCTTGCGGCTCTTGAACTGCAGGAAAAATGTAGAAGAAATCTATGGAGGACAACTCATAAGGGAATTGCAGAAAGCATGAAACAAGAATTCAGAGTTGCTTTAACAGTGACATGGGTAGCATATAAATGTAATAAACAAACAACAAATCTCTTCTCTGAGGCTCTGATTCTTGAAACTAACCCGGAATTCATTTGCTTTTTCTTTGGGCCTATACCAGTGGTGGCGAACCTATGGCACGGGTGCCAGAGGCGGCACTCAGAGCCCTCTCTGTGGGCACACGTGCCATTGCCCCAGCCTCACCTCCCCCCGCAACCCCTTCCTCTCCAGCAGCCCCCCTGAAGGAGTGTCGCCCCTGAGCGTGACCCACGTGGAGCAGCAGAGCCAAGGACATGGCAGCCAGGCAGCGTAGACAAGACTCTGCCCTCACATTCCATCATGCACAGTTGATGCTGCAGGGCGTGGGCAGAGGGCGTGGCCTCCATAGCACTGCTGGGCTGCCTGGGCGATCTGCGGCAGGCCCTGGAGACGGTGAATGGCCCTGCAGGCAGGCGAGGCAGGGGATGGGGGGGGTGGAGCGGGGGCGGGGAAGGGGGTGGAGCAGGGGTGGGGCTAGTTTTTGGGCACTCGGTCTCTAAAAGGTTCGCCATCACTGGCCTATACTGTTTTATCTAACTAGAGTAGGGGCAGGCAACATTTAGGTGACCAAAAGAGAGCTTTTTTCCCCAGAGGGCTGAAGCTCCCAAAGTACTACATTACCTCATAGCCCTTAACAATACTGAGTTTCTCTGGAGAGTGGATACTTGTCATTACAAAAGCCTATTCCATTTTCATGTTTTTTCTACTTCAAAAGGGCTGGATACAATGGTAATCAGGGCATATGGGGCTGCAGGTAGTTCTGAGCCATGATTCGCCCAATCCTGATTTAAAGTAACTGAACTATGAGAGGGTGTGTGTTGCATTAATAATAGTATTACAACTGAATTTTAGCTCATTAGAAATGGTTGGGTTTTAGACTGATGGAGGGTGGGTTTGGGATGCAAATGGTGTTGTAAAATACAGAAGTGACCATGGCATTGCAGTGGAATATGTGCTTAGTATATAAGACGGAGCTAGTGCCAATAAGACCGGAAAATATTAGGTTATGTGCATCTGGAGTTGGATTCAGTAATTGGAACTGGAACTGATTATGTATTTGTGAAATTAGGGCACAGAATCTTTAACACATAAGAAAATATTGTGATTTTCTCTATATTGCATGGAAGCATAAGAATACTTCCACAGTGTCTCAAAGTAACGTTGTCCTCTGGAGCACTCTTAAATATCCAGTTTCATTTTGGCATCGTTGCATTGTCACAAACAATTACCAAAATATACTTGAGGACATTCAAAAGACTGTGTGACAAGTTAGAGAAAATACAACAGTTGCACTTAACAATCTCCTGACTTTTTCTTAATGAAAAGCAGCCTCAAGAAAATGGTCTCCCTGCAGACCATTTTGCTATTTAAAAAAACCTCTCCCCCCCCCAAGTTGTTCTTCCTATCAACTGCAGGAGAGCGACTTTGATTAGAAAAAAATAACAATTTCCTTGCAATTGCTTTTAGTTTGGTTTGTTTCATTAGACGGGAGTTTGTTTCATGGTTTCCCAGTAGGTTTTTTTCAAAATGAAAAGCAATGTGTTTACTGCTTGGGGTCCTCCTGATCTTTAGGCAGAGGTCTGCCATCTTTTCTTGGCCACAGACTGTACTAGGTCATAGATCTTAATTGTGCCCCATTGTGAAAGGAGCAACCGCAAATATAAGGCTAAATCCAGCTGCAATATTAGACCTCCTTCCAGTAAAATGCAGTTGATGTTTCATTAAGGGATCACACATGGACTTTAAAACATCATGATTTTACCTTTTTAAATATATTCATTCCCAAATCAGAGGAGAGATCTGGAACTGCTGGTCTCCGCAGGTTAGTTAAGGATACTTTGGCAAAAGCTTCGGTGCTTAATGATTTTTCTTCCTCATTACATTTCATTGTGAGATCCTACACTCCCCAAGAGAGACAAGAAAAACATGAGCCTGACTAGGAAAACAGGTACTCCCCCCCTTTTTTTGTGTAAACACTGTCAGCATTTGTTTCCTTTGGATGATAGAGAATTGGAACCTTGTGGCAGTGCTTGAACTGTAAGGTTTTTGAATATGAATAAAAAAATAGTTTAGTCATATTCAAAAGTTTGCAGTGTTTTTTACATCAGTTTCCTATCCCTACAGACATTCTTCTGCCCATATTCCAGTTTTCTCTTTATAATCTAGCAGTGTTCTCTAGAAAGTACAGAGAACAATCTTCCCTGGCTACTTTTGGATCCTCATTTCAGGTCTTGTTTCTTGAAAGTCTTATTCTTCTGCAGATTTCAGGATTCAACTAAAGTTGTTCCTGTTCCTAAATATCTGCTTATTTGCACTTCTATCTGTATCTTTCTTTCTCTCTCATTAAATGTTCTTCATTGATTCTCATGTGTGATAATACAGAAAAATACTAATCAACACTTCCTCTGCTTCCATACAAATATCAAGAGTTCCTTACGAGTATAATGATGTCCATGAACTTTTGTTTCTCATTTTATTTAGGTTCTTTTAGCATAATCACCCATGGATAGAAATACATCAGGAGTAAAAGAGAAGTAAAGAAACATCAACAATCTACAATAAGTAAAGCTCAGTATGTATATCTAGAATTTTAATCATAATAATGACTACTTTGTTCAGTGATACAGAATTAAACCTGAACTACAATCCTAGCTTGCAACTGAACCTTTGACCAGATCTTAATATTTAAAACTGGAAATATTAGACACCCAATTGCCTGATTTTCAATCAATCAATCAACCAATCAATCAGAATAGAGCTGGAAGGGACATTGGAGGTCTTCTAGTCCAGCCCCCTGCTCAAGCAGGAGACCCCATACTATTTCAGACAAGTGACTGTCCAGTCCCTTCATAAAAACCCCCAGTGATGAAGCACCCATGATTTCTGAAGGCAAGCTGTTCCACTGGTTAATTGTCCTCACTGTTAGAAAGTTTCTCCTTAATTCCAGGTTGCTTCTCTCCTTGATTAGTTTCCATGCATTATTTCTTGTTCTGTCCTCTGGTGCTTTGGAAAATAAATTGACCCCCTCCTCTTTGTGTCAGCCCCTCAAATACTGGAATATTGCTATCATGTCCCCCCCACACACACACACACACAGTCGTCCTTTTCTCTAGACTAACCCAACCCAAATCCTACAACTATTCTTCATATGTTTTAGTCTCCAGGTCTTTAATCATCTTAGTTGCTCTTCTTTGCATTTTTTTTCCAAAGTCTCAACATCTTTTTTGTAATGTGGTGACCAAAACTAGATTCAATATTCCAGGTGTGACATTACCTGTGTTTTGTGAGTATTGACTAGTGAGGGAGCAGCAGCCACCATGGAACTACTGCGTGGCCTTGGCAATGGTGGGAGTTCTGGGTCAAATGATTTCTCTGGCTTTTCTTCTAACATGTGGCGCAGTCGTTGAAGATAATACATCAAGGACCATTGTGTGCCTTCCTCAGACCAGTGTGGCTGAAGCAGGCATCGTAATACAGCAACATCAAAGTAAGTGGCATAGCGGGACTTTTGGCATGGTGGGATCACCAAAGACACCCTATTACAAAGAGCAAAAGGAAGCACATTAATCCAACCAATTGAGAAGTCAAGCAACAATCAAGATGTGGGCCCCCAGATAACAGTCTGTTTCTTCATTCTGGATAGAGTTGTTAATATCAGCATGATCTTAACAGACGATCCCCAAATGTGATATATTATGTGACCAAAACCCCCTTATTTTGAAAAAGGGAGCACAAATTATTAAATATGAAGTGTAGCTTTTATTCCAAGACTTAGGAGAGTGAAGAAGAATGAAAGGGGCTCAATTGATCCTGAGCATGAATTTAAGAACTCAGCATTGTTGGGAAAGTTTCAGAAGGAAGAAACAGCTCCTCTCTGGATTCTGTGAAAACCTGCCCAATTCTCCTGTCATCTCCACTGGGCACACATTTCAGATTCTCCTTGACATATGTGATAATTACATTAATTAAGTTTCAAACAGGTCATCATGGTACTCTGGAAAATGCTAGCTTATAAATTATGCTTGAAAACCAAGGTCCCAAACACAACCAAAGGACTGGTCTTAAATTTACACATGAATATACTCTTCTTAGATTGCCAAAGAATTGTTGGCTTTTTAGGACTACACTCCCATGGGCCACTCTTTGGGGATAAAATCCCACTGCAAAAGATTCATAAAATTGAATATAAACATGATCATACTTCCCACATTTATAACAATGTAAACTCATAATTTTTGAAAATGTACAATGCACAAAACACAAGAATTAAAACACTTTACACTGAAACAATAAAATAACATAAGCAGCAGCCACCAAATATTTTTAAAAATTCTAAACAACACAAAAATTAAAAATTAAATCAATAATTGAGTAAAATATAGACAAACAAAAAATGTCTTTGGTTAGTGCCAAAAAAAGAACACAATTATACCGGGAGAATCATTTCAGAGGTGGAGGACAACCACTGAAATACACACTCACACACACATACACATATATACACACACACACACACATACACACACATATATATATATATGCACCTGCACCCAGCCCCATGCATATACAATCACTATTTCATGATATAGATTTTTCTCCTCATTCAGTTTCTTTCATTTTACCATGCCACCAAACACGTTCATCCTTCTCATTAGCTCCACATAATTCTGTGGCACCCTGCTTCATTTTTCCCCCCACTCCATTCCCGGTAGCTTTCATGTCTTCTTTCTTTATTGCCTGCTTTCCAGTCATTCTGACAGGAGACAAATCTATCTTTTAATACTTTTATACAAATATATAAAATTATATTGCTGTAAACACAGACCTAACATACAGAGCTCCATCCCTGTAAATATTTTCCTTTCACTTTTGTTTCTTCCAGTTTTTTCCTTTCCTTTATTTTTCATTCCCTCCAAAATCCATTCTCAATACTGTAATAAAATTGTCTCACACACATTCCAAACCTCTCAGCACGCTTGAATTCTTCATTAATTCTCTTAATCATTCATCACAAACAATTAAAGCAATAATGCTTTTTAGTTTTATATCCATTTATATCCATAAAGTTATGTTTAGACCATGTATTTGAAACTAAAGAGAAACTCATCAAATAGTCACCATTCTTATTCATTGGAGGGTCTTCAAATGGCCTGTTCATATTTTCTGAATGCTATCATCTTGATCCTGCCCATCCATTCATGTCACTAGCAATATATTTTCCCCATGTACACGTTCACTCACAACGTTGCTGCTCAGTTCTGGTTCTTCTATTATCACAATTCATTGCAGCATATCATGCGAGTATCACCGACATATGGATTCCTGTTTTCATATGCTCCCATAACAAATTAGATGGCATTAATTTGTATTTCCTAACACAAATTTTAACACTTCCCCCCCATAATTACACCTATACCTTCACTTCCTAGCATGTATTTCTGAATGCCACTTCATTCAGATCTATTACACCTTTCCTTTTTTATTAGTTTCACAGATGCTCAACCTCTCTATTTTCATTTCATTTCATTTCATTAATTAATGCTATTTACAATGTACTCTTTTATTCCAAGTTTGAATAATCTGTAAGGCTTAGTTATCACCAGTTAAGTACATAGATTTGACTGCCACTCTCTTCATGGTTTTGATCAATCAGAGCTTTCACACAACGCTTTTTACTAAGATAGAAAAGCTACAAAGAAGGCTAGCAAACTTTGTTGTACCCATGTCCTTTATAATATTCTCTGATAATGGTATGGACAATACTAGCCAGTGTGGTACATTTGAGCCAGTATGTCACAAGCAACTAGAGCCCAAATTTGCCCTAAACACGCCATTCTATGAAAGCTTGAATAGCTACTCTAGAAACTACCTTGTTCTCAACTAGCTTATTTATTCATATCTCACACATTGAATGGACGAATAAATTTAAGTATTCATTGTGACTATTGTAAGAAACAGTCATCCCATTTTTTCTGGATAATATATGATTCATTATGAAACGGATACAAACTGATGAACAGATGAAAGAAAATTTGAAATTTTTCCCCTTATAAATAGAATGTAAGATAAATATACAGTCATATTATCTTTTACAGAGAAACAAAAATGTAAGAAAAATGTAACAGTGAGACTATTTGGAGAAGAAAGCTAAGGCACCTTTAGGCAGACATTCCAAATTACTTCCATCAGAATTGTACAAAACGTTTTGCTGTGCTAAATAAGAATGATTCCTGTTATGCCCCTGTAACAGAATACCTAATGAATTGTACAGCAAAGGCTTTTTGAGCAAGTTGAAAGATCAGATAAATTACCGTTGGTTGAAATAGTTACATTCAATGTTCCAATTTCTGACATGCCTTATGCAGAAAAAGAAATGTTTCCCAAGCCAGCTACAAATTTGTGGTCCACAATACAAATAAACAAATTGCAAATGCATGTAATAGCACTATGTTAAAAAAAAGAATACCTATTTCCTACACACCTTAGATAAACCTAGATTACAACAATGTCATCTTATTTTTACTATTAAGGATTACCAGGATAAAATACATAATGATTTTAGTCAATATTGAAGAAATTGATGTGTTTTTATGCAATATAACTGTTCCTAACATTATGACTGATGCCTTGTTTATTCACCACTAGGCATCTCTTAAAAAAAAGAATAGATAACGTTAAATCTATGAAAATAAGAGCTATTTGGCAATTTAAGAGAGTATTCAATTAACTGAGTAGCATGACAAACTCATTTAGTCCTTCGGTTACAATGGCAATTGGAACCAGAATGTCTACTGCTAAGCAATGTGGTCATAAAGTGCAATGTCACATGACTACATTCCTTAGTGACGGCAATCACAGCAGTCCCCATTGCCATCATAACCCCAGAACTGTGTGGATTGTTAAGCAGAAGGAGCCCCATACAAGGAGTGTGGGATGTGTGTGCAGGCACTCTGGAGGTGGGTCTGCAGGCAGGTGTGCATTACAATGCAGGCAAGTAGGGGTTGCAATGGAGTATGTGATCCCTCAAGAGGAAAAGCAGCAGGACCAAATTGCTGGAGAGTCTTTGCAACCTCCTACTGGTTTCTTCATGGACTTTGCTTGTGTGAAGCCAGCAGGAAAGGTCACAAATGTACTCATGAGACTGGAGGATGCTATAACTCTTGTAAATGCGAGCCGGTTGCTAATTGGCTGAATCACAATCACATGACTGAAGGTTTGCTGAAATGGTCAGAACTTTAAGGACTGGTCATAAATTCTCCTTGTTCAGTACTGTTGCAACTTTGAACAGTCAATGAACAAGTGGACTATCAATATATGATACTTTGTCATATATTTCTATGCTTCCTACAAACTCTATTAAGTTTATTGAAATTTATAAAAATAGGTATTCCACTTATTGATTGAATTCTTTGAAATCTACAAATAATTATTTCAGTGGAACTTTTTTCATGTGTTCTTGTAAATATATCAGATTCCTAGCTCAAGGAAAAATTAGCATAAATAGATGGATAAAAATTCAGCTGAATTACTGGAAGAAATACATTTGGTAAACATTTATATTACTTCAACATTGTTAAATTTACTTAGCAGCATTTCTATCCTTATGTTATTTCAAAGAGATACGGTATGTAAGATATTAACAAATTGTATAGGGCAAGGACAAACTCCTACAATTTAGTTATCTAAATTAAGCAATTACATGATGATGACAGTTTTAATCTTCCTGACTTGCAGCTTTATCATTGGTATATGTTTTGACTTCTTTCTATGGGGCACAAGCAATCTGGTAACACACCTTTGTTAGTACAAGTAGTAAGTTATGTAATTCCTCTGAAATTATGGGAAGGGTCTTGGCTTCATTTTTAGCAATAGTTCTGTTCTGTCTCCTGTATTAAATACAACAAAGTAGGTCTGGAAGCCATTTGGTTTGAGTCAGTGGTGTTGGTTTTTTCTAAATTATTTTTGCTCCCTTAATCCCCACTTTTTCACTTCAGTTTCTCTTTCCCCCTCTCTCTTAAAGCAATTTTTTAAAAGAACAATTTTTTTTCTACTTAATTTTAATTGCACACTAAGCTCACTGAGTCAGTGATTGCACACTTTCCCCAAAGGCCAGAATTTTATGATTGTTTGAATTTTATCTTCAAGGACAGAAATAATTGTATAAAAGCTGGATCAGTAAGTAGAGCAAACAACATTTATTCTGTTCCTGCTTGTTGCTAGGCAACACCCTCTCCAGTTCCGTTTGGAGTGATCAATGAGTTCAGCAAATGAAGAGAAATTAATGACGCAGGCTAGAGACCCTGCCTGCAGCTTCATTGCCATAGTGACCAGCCAGCTCAGTTTCAGATACTGAATGCCTTGCTGTATTTTGAACCTGCATTTTTTTGGGGGGGGGGGGGAGGGAGGACCCAATACATAGAAAATACCAATTTGATTTCCTGATTCTTTTTAACCATCTGTCCAGGCATGTGATTGTTGTTCCTTTCTATATATGTAAGGCACAATTACAGTAATATGTCTTTTGACTTCTCACTAGAAAACGATAGGTGCCACATTTCTACAATTTCATCAATAACATTGTGTTAACTATGGGTCCTGGAACCAAATAAACAGGGTTGGTCACACATTTGTCCTATCAAATAAGGCATCCACTGGATAGATAAAGGCAGGAAATGTAAGCATTAGATGTGTTTCATTTCAGGCTCCATATAAAGCATTTCCCCAGTTCATACAAAACAAACCATTATCTTCATTTTTTAAAAGTATTTTATGAACAAAATGTTTTTTGTTCAGCTTTTGAAGTGTGACAAAGTGTTCTAAGGTGTTCAAGACTACAATTCCACAATGATTAGGAAATTGAGGAGTCTAAGGATTATAGTCCAATGCCCCTGGCAGGACACTTGGTTGAATACAGCTGAATTACTGTACTAAGTCAATCGGTGCTCAAAATGAAAAAAGGCAGTGAAAAACCTGCACTTTAAACACATTATAATCTTAGGGTTTCCAGTAGGACTTTTGGAGAGAAAGATGATATAGAATAAAGGAAAGCAAAGGAGCACAGAATTATCCTGGTGCCTTAACCATTACGCCAAACTGGTTCTCTTTAACAGAAGTATCTTTCTGATTTCATAACTTACTCTGTGTAACTAATTGAACCAATTGAACTGAAACTGACGAATTTCAACCTTGTAGAAGAATGCCTACCGAGGATAGGGGGTTCCTTTCTCTTGAGATGCTTGGGATGAGATGCTCCCATCAATGGAATTTCCACGGTAGCAGCCCAGGAAGGCTCGTCTTGGTGGAATGGAGTCTGGTTCTGTTGATTCACACACTATCTGCAGGCCAGAAAGAGACAAGGTTAAAATGTAGATTGTGTAGATACACCATGAGATCAACCCCATTGTGACTACTAATTCAAGAAAAAAACCCACCAGATATTGTCTTGAAAGTTTCTGTAAGTTAGGATCGAAGAAAAATTGCATCTCCCAGCCTTAGAAGTAAATTGTAATTATTTTTAGAGCTTGTAGAATGAAAACAAATGGACATGATGAGACATGAAAAGAAAAGAATTTGTAAGTACTGTACATCAAGTCCCAGTTCTCCCTGGGATTATTAAATCACACTTATGCTGTATCACTTCCAACAGCAGGTGAAGGCTCATGTAATTTGTTGTATTTTGAATGCGCATAATTATATGTCACTTAAAAAAACAAAACCATCAAGAGAAAGCCATTTTTAAATAAAATGTTCAAGTAATTTGTTGTATTTTGAATGCGCATAATTATATGTCACTTAAAAAAACAAAACCATCAAGAGAAAGCCATTTTTAAATAAAATGTTCAAACGCTTACTCATTTTCTTTGGAGGACATATTGTAAACATGCTCATATAATGGCTGTTGGGGGAGGACAAACTACTCACAAAGTGGCAGCAGGCATGACCAGACACAAATTCTTACAGGAAGGCCAGGTATTATGCTTGCCCCCTGTCATCCCCTCCACCCTCACAAGATGTTTTCTGACAGTCAGGTTAACTTGTTCCCTTTTTCTGGCTAGGTGGGAACACTTGCACGCCACCCACTGGGGTGCAGTCAATCATTCTTTTATTACTAAACATTCTTATTTTCTAAGAATGCTTGAGATAATGCTAGTGATGGCTACTGTGTTTTATAGCATTCCAGCTTCCCATTTATTTATCTGTTTGTTTTAATGTCAGATACAGAGCCTGGAAGCCTCAAAGGAATTTCTACAGGGTCACTGGTGCATATGAGTGCCAGGTTTCCTACCACTATGACAGGAAGGCATTCTGTGCTACAAGCCCTTCACCTGTACTCTGAGAAAATATAACCTAGATGAAAAATTGCCACCCTAGGTGCAACAAAACACAAGTGGTAAAACAAAAATAAAACAAGTACTCAGTGCCCTGGAAACCATCAGGCACTGAATGAAATTGTTTATGGGCCCTTCAGCACCTCAACATAAAATGTGTGCAACTTTCCCTAAATCTTCATTTCTTGGTAGCAGGGAGGACTGACTTGCTTAATTTATTTCATAGTTCCTGGTGTTGTCCTATCAGTGAGCCAGTGGCAAAAGTTGGCTCATGGAAAAAGCCAAGGAACCATATAAACAAATGCCCCTCTTTTTGGTAGATATTGCTGTTCCAATTTCAATAAATATTTATACAGGGACATTATATTGAATTTTCTGCCAATTGCTACAATAGAACTACCATTTTAAACGTACACTTAATCAAGAGCCCAGGTGGCAACTTCTGTTTGGAAGCTTGTTCTATCTGCTTACCCTGCTCCCACCATTTATTCCCATTACTCCCCCTAAAACAATATAGCCTCAGCGATTACCTCTGTATGCCCAGCATCCAGATTAGGAGATTCACATGTAAGACCCTGGTTTTTGATTGGAGAACTCCTCTTTGCTGGCAAATTCAACAGCTTGTTAGTACAGAAGCTTCATGAATCAAGCTTTAACAATTCTGATAGCAGACTATACTTTAAATGACCCACTCTTCTTAATCATAT